ATAAATATAAATTACATGCAAGAATAAAAGCTCAGACAAAATTATCTGCGACCTAAACCTACTAGAGTGGTCAAGACCCACCTAGAAATTTTACAGTTATTTAAACTTAATAGTTTGTATTTAATATTATATATATTGTAAATAGGAATGGAATCATAATAGGTTCGGAATCCACTTATATTAGAACGGAATAATTATACTAAAAATCCAACTCTAACCTTAAAAATTCTAAATCAACTTAAATTCTGTTCTCATCTATGACATATGTACTCAAATTATGCTAAATTTTATGCTAGCAAATATGAATTATGCTAAATTTTGCTGCTAGCAAACTTGAATCATGCCAAATTATGCTAGCAGCATAATCCTGAACACCCTAATCATGGCTAGTAAAGAATTTTTCTGTATAAGTTCAACTTATTGTCCGGAAGACGCTTAATAGATGAATAAGGTGATACCAAAGTTACGTTTTTGATTCATTAAATGTTCCGATATTGATGCACAAAATTAATACAAAATAGAAATAAATCAAAGACGTACCTTTTGAAAAGGTCTGTCTGCACACATGACACATGATAATCATATGGGTGTCAATAGAACTAGCAATATTTTTTGTCGGGGATGAAGCTGAAATCGGATGATGCTGAAATTTTGACCTATTTTATTATGAAATTTTAAAAATTTTCGGGCCTTTTCGTTAGGTTTTTTTTTAGGGTTAGGTTAGGGTTTAAGGTTAGTGTTGTTAGTAAAAAAGTATATGTGAATTTTAGAGATTTAAATGGGACTCTAAATTTCAGCATCAGCTAATTTCGGCATCATCCCCGACATTTTTTAATGATTTTTTAAAACTTTAAACAAGAATAATTTTAACAAACCTTAATAAATTAATAATTTTTTAAATTTAATTCTACAATTTTGTAAAATTATTTAGGGAATTTTTTATTAAATTTGGTCAAGTTTTTGTTAAGTATTATTCTTGTTTAGAGTTATAAAAATTTTTACTATAAAAATTTGCTTGATTTCTATTGACATGATAGCTCCGGAACAATAATGCTACGCATTAACTTAGTGATGCTTACCTTGTGGTATTTATGGCATTCATCGCCTTTAGTGAATGTGATGCCTTCGGCATCTTAAATAAAGGTGAACTCGATGGAGTTCAAACATTGAGTTACATAAGCGTTTCGCTTAATTATCCCCCGATAAGTATATAGAGTGACACGTGATATCGTGGAATTCACCGTGATGTAATCTAGAGACTTATTGACCCTAGTTACTCGGACCAAGTCTTTCCACGCTCTGTTCGAAGCCTGCCATTACTAGGATACATTGTAGTTTTAGTAGTAGTTTAATGTTGTTGTTAGTGGTTAGTCATTGTTAGTGAGACCCGTATTTCTCGATATTTCTCGATTTCGGAACAGTTGCCACTTTTGCAACGTACGTACAGTACGTTGAAATTAACATCCTACGGAACGGACGGATAGATTCTACCACGATCTACGCAGATTCTGTCACAATATTTGAATTTCCGGTTTGGCTTTTGTGGCTTCAGTACAATTTCACTCATTTAATCCCCTAGCTAGTTCCTAACGAGACTTAAATTAAACCCAAATATGGAGATAATAATAACAATGACACAATAACGGTAAATGTAAAATAAAAGATTAATGGTTATTTATGATTATGATATGGCTTTAAAAAGCCGAAAGTATATAGCCCTATTAGTTAGTTTACGTAATTAGCAAAAGGTCCAAAAGAAAATGACAAAATATTTCTATAGCTGATAGAAGCATACTAAAATCTCAGATAATATAAAACGCAATTATTAAAGTTAATTCGATCATATCTTGCACGTTGGCCTAATTTAAAAATATTTTTTATAATTAAACTATGTAAAGGTACCCTTTTAAAGCATTGGTTTGTATAATCGGTCATATTATCACAATGTCTGTATCTAAATCAAATTATAATTTCAAAATTTAAAGCATTTTGTTCAATTGTCTATTTTCACATAAACAATATCTTAAATAATTTGAATATCTATTTAAAATAACATTTATCAAAAGAATTTTGAAAATTACATTAACACACAGTACATGACACAAAAATGATCTATTTAGTTATCACTCATAAAAATTGAATTTTATCTATTTAAGGAAATAAATATGCATATTATTAGACTAAGTCTATAAATATAAATTCAAGTAACCTTAGATACAGGCATTAAAATCTAAAGAACATTGGGCTTCCACGGTTGGTGTGATTTTGGTTCGCCACCATCGAGACGTTTTTGCTTAAATCGAGAGTTATATTTTAATACATACTTAAATGATTTAAATTGGGATGGACTAATACTTAGAACATCTTGAGAAACAAACCAACGAACACCTTCGGTGCATGGTGGTATGGTAAAGCTTCCGGTATAGCTATAAACCTTTTGAAGGTAAACGAGATATTCCTTAATACAGTATCATGAAGATTTAAACGGATATTATTATCATTTGGCATAAATACATACAGTTTTAACCTTTTTAAATATTTGTTTGCCTGCTGACATTGAAATGCTAACATATTTACCGACTTCCACCGGTTTCTACAGAAATTTAAAATTTGAAAAGTAAGCATCCTTAAAGAGGAAAATATTCATAATGTATAATTATTAAATTTGCATACATCATTAATTATATCCACAATAGGTTTCAAACTAGGTTCATCATTTTCTCCAAGGTCAAAGAAAACTCCTAAAACGGCCACTTTTGCATTTTTATCAGACGAAGTTTTGAAAACCCAATGCCCTTCCATTAATAAATCTCTGCCTTCAACATGATGTTCCGATGGCATATGAAAATGGAATTGAAAAAGATAATATGTTTCACCACCAACTTTCAAAGTTGCATCATAATTCAATTCTGGTACCGTGATATTACCCTTAAGGCGTTGAACTTGATAAGTATGACCATTATTTAAGAGAATTAATTCAGTTTCCTTGGCTACATTTAACTCAATTTTAGTAGAGTTAACAAAATCTTCAAGTTTCAGATCTATAGGGGTTTGTTGATTAATGCCTTTACAGGTTTCGTTAACTTGATACCAATAAGCAGGACCGTTGGAACCAAGATAACCCCATTCAAAATTTTCATCATTACGTTTGTCTGGGCTGAATACGTATGATGAGACAAATGATAAACTGATGATTAAAAAAGCAGGAATTGTAAAGAATTTCATTTTTAATTATCTCAATAAGAAGGTTTAAAATTAAATGTAAATTTAAAATTCCTCGATACTAAAAAAAGGGCTTACACATAATTAAATAAAGATGGATGAGACGGAAAATCTCAGAAAAAAGGAGTGACTAGAGAATTAGTTGATAGTATGATTAGGAGGCTTAAATAAAATTGCCGTGGCTCAATGTTCAACTTCAGAACTAACTTTCTATCTAATAGTCGATCAATTCATTAATAGTAAGCCGCACGGCTAAGTTTTAGACTACTTCGCAGAGATTATTATCATGTAGCTAAAAACTCTTCAAATACAATACAGTCAGACCTATAGTTGGTGGTAGAATTAATTTTACAAATTAATACGGTGTCACGTTTAAAAAGTTCTCTTCGATAGGTCACTTGATGCCGCAGTTCTGCACGCCCATAATGCGCATGATCTGCAAAACAATGTAAAAGTAAAGGTAAAATTACATCGCGTCTCTTAAGGCATGCGATCAGATTTTAATGGTTCGCTTCGATGTAAAGCTTAATTAAATAGTTATTAGTTTAAATTAGTACACACCAACGAGAGAATAGAATTTTAAATAATACTTTCCTCAAAATCGTGTATATAAGGCCTTTGATTTCACCTTGCTTTAGCTTAGACTTCGACTTCTCTTGATTACCTTTCGAATTCTCCTATTTAGAATAAAATTTCTTATTTTCTTTGTATTTGTTAGTTACTTTATTGGTTAGATAAAGTAGCCATGTTCTCATACACATTAAATTTCATTATTCTCTTTAATAAAATATAAAATGTTATTACGTGATCACATGATCTTAAACGTCTATTGTTAAAAGTATTGTACTGACTTTTTGTATCCTTATATACAATTGAGTTAGCGCCTCTTTCAATAAAGCCTTATTAATCCTCTTTGTTTAGTCATTGTATTGACATTGTAATTGTTGACCATATTACTCTAGTTATAATCTTCATACTATAACAACACAGTCTCTTGAATTCTATTAAGAGGTGAATTTCAAACATGACAATGGTTATAGCACATACTATATTTTTTGCGTAATTGCTGTGAGCTATAAAACTGTAATGTCATAATGTTGTAAAACCATAATGCCATAATGCTATAATGCCATAATGCAGAAATACTATAATACTATTTGTTTAGTAAATTGACCCAGATAGATATCACCTGGGTCACCTGTGGGTGAGTAGGTAACCTGGGTCAGGTATTGATAAACCAGGTGAAAACAGGTAGGTCAATCTGTGGGTTGACCTATGGGTAACCCTCATAAAAGAACATTTGCTTATATATAAATAAATTTGAAGCATGGAATTTTGAGACCTGATAAGATAAAATCAAATTCAGGTCAATTAAGTATAAGCAAAATAATTAAAAAAGTAGTATTACATAAAGAGTCTAAACAATTAGAGTTAAAGAAAATTACAACTAAATACATCATTACAGATTCTTTAGTATTTAATGTTATAAATAGAAAAGAATATCAAAAAATGATGCACCCTATATTCAAACTACCAAATTACCAATATATTAGAAAAAATATTAATATTGCTTATCAAAAAGATATTACAGAGCTTAAACAATTGCTTGCAGTTATTTGTAAAATAGCCTCTATAACCAAAGACTTGTAAACTTTATATGCTAATAATAGATATATCAACATAACTCTTTACTAGTTAATGTCTAACTTTGAAGTTTATAATATACTACTAGCTATTGAAAAGCTTGATCATCTGCATACTGGAAAAAAAATTAAAGAATTTTTAAGTGCTAAAATTAAAAAAATTGAATTAGTGGAAAAAATTATTTGTACTAATAACTAATAACAGAGCAAATATAAAAAAAGCAATAAGAATTTAAAATAATGTAAAATGTTTATCTTGTGCTATACATACACTTTAATTTACAGTTTTTCAGGCTTTAAAGTTTATAAGTCTATATATTAAGCATATTAAAAAGCTTATTAAATTTTTTAATTTTCTAAACAAAGTCAATACCTTAATCAGGTACAAGTTAATATAGCAAATTATAAATCAATCCAGGCAAATTCTATTCAACTTTATAATCCTAGTGATAGATTTGAAAACCCATTTAGAACAGAAGATAATGATATAACAGAAATTTATAAAGCACTATCTATTTTACATACTATTGAAATTACAAAAACCTATTAGAATTTGTCTTATCAATCTTGGCAAAGACTCTTAAAATTATGTTTAACAATCGAATAGCTTTCTCAAATTTTATCTTTACAAGATAAAGAAGTCTCTGCCAAATTAGATAAGTGTATACTTAAAGAATATGAATGGCAGTTTTAAAAGAGTTGATAGAAGTATTGGACCATTTGACAAGTTTATATTTTACTTTAGTAGAATTCAATACACCACTTTTTCCAGTTATCAATCCAAGTATAGAAGCTTTAAAGTTTGAATTTGCCAATATTATGTTTGATGAAACTATTATAGATACTTTTAATTATAGTAAATAAAAGTTAATTAATTTATAGTTATTATAAAGAATTAATCATTAACTATATTAATAACACTACTCTTTCTCTCCAACCTTATACTTTAACTATACTAATTCTTATAATCCATACTTCAATTTACTATAGAAAGAATGTTTTGTCGAAAGCTCTACTAGACAATTTATCAAAACAATTTGCAAAGTATACACTACAGCTCTATGGTCCTCTTAACACCATATCCAAAAATAGTCATCCTTCTCTCACTTAATCAACTAGAAAGCCTCTTGGCTATACTTCAACAATAACTAAAAAACTTTACACAACTTTACCAACCCCAAACTAAACTACTTAAAAGCTTTCAAAATTAAATTGCTTCTTAATATGCTGCCAACACACGCATACTTTCATTTGATATATTCTCTTATTTTTATACTTGATAACTGCTTCTTTTGCAACTGTCTAGATACTCCTTCTTACTGGTATACTTTTTCTGACAATACTCTTCTAACTTAAACTATTAACTTCTCAATACATGATATCATTCTTAACTCCGATCTTAATCTTTCTACACATCAACTCCACAACTTCATACATACTATCTTTTCACATCCCTCTTTTAATTTTTCACCCTTATCTCTTTACTCTTATTCTTTTCATTCTATACTCAAAGGTCTTATACCAATACCATTGATCCAGGCCCTAAACTCTTTCAACATCTCATACTCTAATGCTTCTCAACTTATTATACAAATACTTCTTAAAATCTCTGACCAATTATATCACAATATATAGATCTCATACTGCATTAACTTCTCTTATTGGAAAAAAGTAAATCAAATTCCTTCCCAACCTATCTCTAATATAACATCTAATCTATCTATATCTTCTTTACATAAAAGAAATAAAACCAAATATACCTATAATTGCCTTTGTGGCTTTGCTGACCAACTACATTCTGAATCCAATACTTGCTCTCCCCTAGAACAAGTATCTACCAACTTAATATCTGGTCTACTATGTGGATTAGATATAGCATATCTATTAACAATATTCTAACTATTCAAATCTAGATAAGTCTTGACCACTCTAGTAGGTTTAGATCACAGATAATTAGTTTAAGCTTTAGTTTGAGTTTTTAGTTTGAGCTCTTATTCTTGTATATAATTTATATTTATTTGTTATTATACAAATTAAGCTTTTATATCTATATAATTGCTTATATAAATTAACCAATAAAGATATGAGCAAGATCTCACCTTAATACTAAAAAAAAAACTATATTAATAACTTAAATTATAGATAAAACTTTAATAGAAAATGATTTTAGCTATGAAAACCTTAATAATAATAATAAAATAGAATTCTTATCTAATCCTATAATCTCAAAACTTTGAGAGATTATTTATAACTCCTTATAGCACTACTGGCAAGGTTCAGAGAATATTAAGCTAATAGCCACTTTACTAAACCCACAATTAAAGTCATTAAATAGATAGTCTATAGAGATTTGACAAAATATAATTAGTTAGCTATATAATGAATTTCAAACTTGGCGAAGTACAGCAGTAGCTAATAAAACAGAACTTCCTCTTTCTAAAGAAACTGCTACTCTGCATTTTATAATAAAAGTATTTGGCATTAGTAGTAGTAGTAAACAAAAAGTAAAATTAGTAACTATCTAAATAAAATAGTAGTACTAATTTTATTTAAATCTACTAATGTTTATAAATTGTGATATAAAAATTAACATTTTTTTTCTATTTTAAGCAAAATAGCCTATAAATACTTATTAATCTCTGCTACTTCAGTTTTTAGTGAGCATTTTTTTTCTGATATAGAGAATCAAATCACTTCTGAAAAAAATTGATTATCATCTAAAATTATAAGTAAAACAATATTTGTTAAGTGTAATTGTTTGTATTATAAAGTTTAAAAATGAGTATTAATAAACTAATAAAGAAGTAAAATTATTATAATAAACTATTAGCCTTTATAGTTTTGTAATCTAATTAATATTAACTATAAGTACTCTTAATTCATCTTAATTTGTCTTGAACTTTTAATCTCTCTAACTATATATATTAATAAAATTTGAAAATAAATATTAATAAACTAATAAAAAAATAATATTGTTATAATGAACCACTAGCTTTATAGTTTTATAAACTAATTAATATTAATCTTAATCAAGCATAAGTATTTTTGATTCGCTTTGATCTGTTTTGAACACTCTTCTAATCTCTCTAGTATTAAGCTTATAGTCAATTAGAGCACAAAATTCTATTGTAAAATACTAATTAGTTAAATTGACTTCTGGAGTAGTTTTAAAACAGCCAGAATTTTATAATAATAAATTTTATTTACTAAAAAAAAAGCAGATAAATTACTCAAAAATTTTGTGTTTTGTTAATTAGAGTTTTGAAATATTAACTATCTAAGTTTTTTTTATTTGACCTGAATAACCCAATAGATAACCTGGGTGGTGCTTTTTTTTTATTTAACCTGGGTAACCCAACAGGTGATCTGTTAGATAACCTAGGTGGTGTCTTTTTTTTTAACTGATCTATTTCACTTATAGATGCCACAAAAATAGGTTTTTAAAAAAAGCCTATTTCATCTTCATTAGAGTAAATTAAAATTTTTTATAAGAAAGAGCAAATCTAATTTATATAATTATATTCTTTATAATTTTATCTATTTAAAAAAAGTATCAAAAAATTTTATCTTTTAAGTAAAAGTAAGTCAAAACAATTTTGTCTTTAAATTTTAATTTTGGAGTTTAAAGCCTAAAATAATTTCATTCTTATTTATAATTTCACCTATATGGTATATTGCTTACTTATTAAGTAACTCAAGTAAAGATTTTTTAGATGAATTAATTTACTAGTTTAAATGCTATACTGCAATATGTACTTTTCTTTAAATAAAATACTATTAAATATTTTTTTAAATTTGACTCTGTTTGATTAGTACATATAACAACTATGAAAAATAAATTGTCAGGTCTAGGTTTTATTCAAATTAAGGCTGATCAAAGTTGATTATTAGATTAACATCAATATTTTTGGCTTAGACATAAGATAGAGAAGAAAATTTAAACAAACATATAGATTTTTAAAAATATTTAATTAGATCTTATTAGTTAATCTTAATCATATAATAATAAGATTTATGCACTGTGATTGGCTATTTAATTTTCAAAAAGTGTAAAGAAGTTCAAATAACCGCAATTCAATATTTTTTTTATATTAATTTTTTTTTTTTTAACCTTTGATAGTCTTGCCAACTTTGCACAAACTTTATTAGAATAAACAAAAAAAATATATCTCTCTAGATACAGGACCAATATATATCTGAAATCCAAGTTTGATATCACCCAGCTGTATAAAACATGCCTAGCTGCGACTTGTTACACTAAAATCAAAATGAATTAGAAGACTTTATTAGCCTATCTCAAGCTTAAAACCCTTCAAATTCCTTTCTTTACTGAAATCAAAAAGAAAAAAGTTCTGTATCAACAATATAGACCAAATATTATAAATAAAATAAAGTAATATAGAAAAAAAAACAACTAATATAAAAAGAAAAATTATAAAGAAATAATAAT